CATTTATAGTAACTATTGTTTGTTCTCTCAAAGATATTTTTCTATCAGCACTGTCACCACCAACTGTCTTTGTTTGAGGTCTTGCTTGAGGGTCTGTCAATTGCCAGTTCAGCAGGACTTTTAAAAATTCTTACTGTTCCAATCCCAAACAGTCCTATTTAATTTAAAGAATAATCAAAGTAACATTGATTCAGTGTTCCTGACAATGGGTGTATGCATTCTGGTTTGACCCCCATGGAGTATTAATTTTTTTTTTCAGTTTTCCTCAGGCTTATAAAAGTACCCAACTAGGATCTGTTAGGTACAGGTTCAAACTGTGTCATGGCCTTAATATTTTCAGGCCTCTTTGTTTTCAATTCCCTTGATTGCAGTGCACTTGTAAGGATTGTTTCATCGTTTACTTTTTTTAAAAAAAATTAAATCTGTTTTCATCAAAGAGTAAGTCTAACATACCCACACCAAATAATCCAGTCATGACCTTTGCAGGCATGTTTGAGGCTGGGATAGTCTTTACAGTGTTCAACACGATGTATCCGCAAACATAACAAACTGATGCACCAATGAACTTGCAACTCACGCAATCCTGGTTAAACTCAATATCAAGCTTCCTTATCAGCCCTGACCAACTATGATTAGCATTTTCCTGAGTAAAAAATATAGACGAATGTAAAAGAGGGATAAACTAAAAAAAAGAGCTTCTGGATGAAATCAACTATCAGGTTACATATCATGTTTCATGGAGGTGTGGAGTGTCTTAACCTTGTACTCCCAAGACCTGATTAATAATTCTCCCACCTAGCTGCAACAAATTTCCTTGTAAATTAGTTGCAAGAATTTGATGTTGGATCAAAACAACTTCAACCTGATAAGTTTGAGAATTCTCTTTACCTGTTTTCTGTAAAATGTATGGAGATTATAGGGAGAAGTTACATGTTAATCACTTAAGGGAGTTAAAGGGTCAAGGGTACTCCATCCATTTGGGGGCCTAAGACAGGGTTTTTAACATGGTAAGTGACAGCCACATACATGTACTGGCCCCTCTTTGTACACATGCAGTTGCGGTGTCATTTGCATACCGTGACGCCACTTTCCATAATATCCAGCCTGTATAAAAATATATGCATCACATGCAGACAAGAAGGATATCCATACCTCCTTATAAACCGGTTTTGGTTCTTCCACTACATCGGGTAGCTTTTCTAACGGAGGTAGTTTCTTATCCTCTTCTGAGTTGGAGGAAAACGCCATATTGCAGGCTGCATTAAAATCTTTGTGTAAGCCCATATGAATTCTAGCCACTTAGCACCAGTCTATGCAGAGTCGTTCTCAGCTGGTGTGGCTCCATCTACCGATAGCACCAAAACTGTGTTGAACAATCCGTTTTCATCGTCTTGCTGCAGATTTTTTTTGTACATTCTACACGTTACAGAGTAAGAATATTTATTGAGGAAGTTATCCACAATGCCTGAGGCGAAGACGAATTCGGGAAATGGAAATAAACAGGGTGCTTTCAAAGACAAGGACAAGCCCACCGAGATTCGTATGAGTAACATTACAGCTGCTAAAGGTGAATATTTCTACCTGTGATTCAATATCTACAATATGAGGATTGACAAGAGAAGTATTTTTCGTTCTTAGCTGTTGCTGATGCGATCAGAACAAGTCTTGGACCTAAAGGGATGGACAAAATGGTAAGTGACAGCCACATGTGATAGTGCAGCTATGCAGTCTTCGTACTATCGAAGTCTTGATGGAATGACAAATTATTTCGTTTTGTATCGTTTCACGGAGTCTTTATTTTCTTGCTTAGAATGTTGAATATTTATGATATTTCCAAAATTCAGCTGATCACAGACCTGACACAACAAGTTATTCTGATCAGAAAAATAGGCTTGAATTATACTTTTCAATTTTTTTTTTTTGTTGCAACTCTGCCCAAGTCCAGAATGTTAGCTGTCAGCTTTGACAGATCAGCATATACATCTCTTGATAATCAAGCTTTATGCCACAGTTCCAACATCCTTTAACCCCTAAGAATGATTGACATGTAGTTTCTCCCAACATCATCACCCCTGAATCAAACATTATAAGGCCATGGGCAAGGCCATGCGCTAAGGAAAATTGAATGGAGCCCAGTGCTCTGAAACTGTGAAATCCAGGGTGCCCAGCATATGCTTTGTATGAAAAAACTAAAATCCCTGAGTCACCTAAGAGCAAAAGTAAGGCGCCAGGGGCTACCAGGCACTGCTAGACCACAGCCTTGATGAGAATTTAAAAGGAATTTTTGTGAACTTAAGTAACTCTTGATTGTTGGACAAATTCTCCTTTTCAGTACCTCAGGAAATGTATAGAGAGCAGTATGGAGAATATGCATACTGATGTTAGGGTGTAAAGGGTTAAAAGCTTTGCAAGTCAGTCAGTCTTAAGTGATCTCTGTCATTGTCGTACAGCTTGGGTGATATGGTACTGTTTTCTGTCCTTATTCAGACTCGCCTTTCCATTGCCCAAGAATTTTAATAACTAAGTATGAAAATCTTAAAATACTGAGTATTTCAAGAAGATGATTTTTTTGTTGTTGTGTTCTCGGCTACTGTTCTAGATCCAAAGTGGAAATGGTGACGTAACAATCACCAATGATGGCGCTACAATTTTGAAGCAAATGCAGGTGTTGCACCCTGCTGCAAGAATGGTAATGTGGTCATTTATCCCTAGTACGATATACAGTAGAGTTTCTTGTTACGAGAAGGGGTGGAAAGATATAGAAATCTGCAGATTGGTGAATTACCGTATTTATCCGTGTATAAGTCGAGCCCCCATTTTCAAGGTCAAAAATCGGATTTTTCATGATTTCTAGTAAAGAAAATTCAGACCGATAGAAATTTCTCAATTGGCTGATCTCTTATTTCTGAAAATGTAATGAAAACATGGTCAATTAAAAGAAAAACTGCAGAGCAAAATGTAACCGTGTGCTGTGAAGTTTAGTAGCACTCGTTTACATCACCACAATTCACGATTTAAGCATATACGAGCACTTCGATTTACTGGAGAAGTAATTTACCATATTTTGTTAATCGCTTTCAAAATGAAATCTTCATGCATTTAAATAACCTTTTGAAAGGAGAATTAGTAGACTGAAGGAACACTGAAGAGCTTCGAGGGATCTCTTGATGAAAACTCACCGTCATCTTGGAAACTAGACAATAACATAATTGGTCCACACTATTAACAAACAAGACAGCGCAAGAAAACAGCATTTGCCAGGTCACTAAGCTACTGTAATTGTTCCATGAAAACCACCAGCTATGCTACGAGACGAACTAGATGCCATTAAAAGAATAATTTTTACCACAACTCCAGCACCGAAAATGGCAGCAAAGCTGTGAGGAAAAATGTCTGCTCTACAGATCAGAAGATACATTAGAAATCAGCCCCACTAGGTTTCTGTTTAAGCCACATAAAATTTGTTAGTTCAAATTTTTTCATTGATGAAGAACACGCTGAAAACTGACGAAACTCTAACACAATTAGAACTGTTTTTGTGAACTCGGTTTTCCTAATGGACTTCAGGCAAATGCTAATTCCTTGGATTGCTTGGGTCAGGTCTTTGTCTATGATCCATGTATAAGTCGAGGGTGATTTTTTGGGCTGATTTTTCAGTCATGAAGAGTCAACTTATACACAGATGAATACAGTAGTTATGGATAATTTTCACTGCAAAATATGTGTTACATGCTATACTCCACTACTGATGTAAAGTATGACTCAGTACTAAGTGTTTGTTGTGTGTTTTTTGTGTTTACCCTCTTCATTAAATAGCTTGCCCACATTTTTGGCTTGTTATTCAGATGGGAGGGAGATATCAAATGATTGCTCCAACAGCTTTATTGTTAATGATACTTTAAAGTCAATAGAAGCAATCAACAAGAGTTTGTTGCATGCATAGTATTACAATTAGACAATCTGTGAAGTATGCATTGATTTCCTGTTTTATTCATAGATATATGGGATGATAGCCATATTTACACATTGTTTGCAGACAAAAAAAATGTTTCTAGCACTAAATTTTAAGCTTGATTTCTTCTAGAAGTTGCAATGAAACTAGTGCTTTATAATTGTGTATTATGCCGTAAAATGATTGTTATCACTGGTAGCTGAAAACTTAAATCTTTTCTCCTAGAAATGATTTGCAAGTTTTGTTACAACACCCCTTTGTGTACCAGCTAAACCAAATGAGTTAACATTCTTGTTATGTTATTTTGATTTTAGCTTGTAGAACTGTCTAAAGCTCAAGACATAGAGGCCGGAGATGGTACAACAACTGTGGTGGTGATTGCGGGAAGTTTGCTTAGTGCCAGTGCTAAACTACTGGAGAAAGGTAACGTCAATAGTTTGAACAATAGTCAGGGGTTTCTTTAAGGGCCGGGCACCGGCTAAATTGACCAGTTGTAAGGACGGTTTTGCCCACCTGGTTTTACTGGAGAAAGGTAGCGTCAATAGTTTGAACAATAGTCAGGGGTTTCATTAAGGGCCGGGCACCGGCCAAATTGACCAGTTGTAAGGACGGTTTTGCCCACCTGGTTTAACAATCTGCACGAAGGTTTATCTTATAAAGAAGTTTAGTTCAAAAAGTTTTGCCCGCCTGTGAAAACCAGTTTCCCTCCTGCTGAAAACATTAATGAAACCCCTGAATAGTAATATCTCTATTGAGTTTCTTGTATCTATTGTTGTGGAAAGAATGACGTTATAGCCTCTTCATTTAATAACTTGTCTGTATTAATGGCTTGTTATTCAGATGAGAGGGAGAGAAAAAATGATTGCTCCCAACAACCTTTTCGCTTATCTTTTAATGTTAAGGTCACTTAAGGCAACCTACAGCTTCTCCAAAAATTATGTAAAAATGGCCTAGTGAAGGAACTCTTTGTGAACATGTATCTGTACCAACTTGTTGCCCTTTCATTTTAATTATCCAAGGTCTCTGACATATTGTTAAAGACAAAAAAGACATTGATTGGTATCTTACAAATTGTGTTCATTTTAAAGATATCTCTTCCCCTCAAGATTTGGCTTGGAAAGTTTGCCATTTAGAGTGTTGCATGTTTCAAAGATAAAGTGATAATTAAAGAATAATGCATTGATTTTTTTTTTTTTTATAATCTTTCTTGATTGTTGAAGGAATTCACCCCACCACTGTATCAGAATCTTTTGAGAAGGCAGCAGCTAAAGCAGTGGAAATACTGACAACCATGTCCACCCCAGTCGCTCTTAGTGACAGAGAATCTCTCCTGAAAAGTGCAATGACATCGCTAAGTTCTAAGGTGAGGATTCCAGCATCAAGTGTGTTCTGATTAAAACCATCTAGTGGTTATTTTTACTCCACTCCATTTCAGGCCTGGCCGTGATTTCAACTGTTGCTACTTACACATGGCTAGATTTAAATATTGAAGCACACATGTGTACATGTTCAGTGAACTTGAGGTTGATACATGCAAAACTACAGCCTTTTAATCCTTTGAATCCTTGAGAGTCATTAACATGTAATTTCTCCCTTCAATATCACCCCTGAATCACACATAAAGGTCAGGAGAGTTAAGGAAATGATCACCAACTAAAGAAGCTCTTGATTGTTAAACAAATTCTCCTTGTCAGCTTCTTAGGAAATGTATAGAGCACTGCGTGGAGAATTTGCCTTTTGATATCAGGGTTAAAGAGTTAAGGTCTGCACCCAGCTCCAATAAAGTCATCATGTTTTAAGTTGCATTAAGGCACTTTTCTTACATGCACATCTTCCTAAAAAATCTATGCAGCTTTCGCAAGATTTTGACATCACTTAAGATGTTATTTGTGATTCTAATATTGCCTTTCATTTTCACTTCAGGTTGTTTCTCAGTACTCAAATCTCCTGGCACCAATTACAGTGGATGCTGTACTCAGAGTCATTGATCCTGCAACAGCTGAAAATGTTAACCTTAAAGATATCAGAGTTGTGCAGAAATTGGGGTATGTCAAGATGGTTTTGTTTAAATTTTGCCCAGTCCTGTTTTCATATTGCATCATTAGGCTTTGAAATTGCTTCTTTGTAAGAATATGGTTGTAGTGTACATTGTTTCTGCTGCACAGCTATGATGACAGAATGATTGCCCCCATAATATTCCTCCATGATTAATCAATCTATACCATTGAGTATGTCTGAGCTGTTTCTTTGTATAGGGTAGATCTTTTGCTGTAGTGAATATTTTGGGGGTTAACTGGTTCCACAAAATTTTCTTCCTTGAATGTTCACTATACCACAATTCCTCTCTCTAATTTGACTGTCTGACAACAAACTTGAATCGTGAAGTTGACTCCGAGCTTCGATTAACTCACCTTTGAAAAATCCTGCTGCTTCTTCTTGCCTTGGTACGATCTTGAACAATGTTAACAATCCTTTACTGGGTTTTTTTTTGGTTTGTTTGTTTTTCAGTGGCACAGTTGATGATACAGAGCTTGTGGAGGGTCTTGTTCTGGAACAAAAAATCAGCCATTTGGCTGGAGGAATATCTCAAGTAGAGAAAGCCAAAATTGGTCTCATACAGTTCTGTATTTCACCTCCAAAAACAGATGTAAGTTAATTACATTGATAACTGTTTGTTTGATAAAGAGTAAAATTCACAAACCTACACGTAACTTAACAGTATTTCAAATGTGCAGGTGCATAGGTTTTGCCAATAGGTAGGCAATGGAAACCTGTGGGGATTTCTGATGTGCATCTGAACAAGGCTGATTGCTATTTATGCCTATTCAGTATCAGAATCAGCCCAAATTTACAGGCAGGCACAGAGGAGTGCTTTTGAGAAACAATAATTTGTTGAATTTACCATGAATTTTTATTATTAGATGGAAAATCAAGTAATAGTTAGTGACTACACACAAATGGACAGAGTGTTACGTGAGGAGCGTCAGTACATCCTGGAGATCTGCAAGAAAATTAAAAAGGCTGGATGCAATGTATTGCTTATCCAAAAATCTATTTTAAGGTATGTGTGGTGGGTTTTAATATCTTGAATCTTAACCAAAGGTGGAGTCATACTGATCACAAGCACTCATCTCATAAGATGTAAGTTGTTTATTAAAATGGTGTTCTTGGTGGAGCACTTGGACTAACGTAAGAACTGAAAGGTAACAGGCGATGTAAAGTACTGTAACAAACAATTTATTTAACATGTCCCATTAAGCAATCACTTGTGGACATAAAGCGTACTCAAAAAAAATACCATCCCAATCAAGAGAAGTAAATATCAAAACAAAGTTATCAATTAGCATGCAAATTACAAATTACTTATGCGAAAATTATACCTCTTTTCTGCGCTAAGATCCTTGAGTGTCTTATTTACAAGTCTCTGATTTCAATGTCCTTTTGACTTGACTCGCAGGGGAAATCGCCTAATTATAGTTAATCATGAAGTATGATGTGCACATTTTTCAGCTTTCATGTTTATTTGTTGTCCATGTAGATTAGGTTGTTAAGGTAGGACTGGGTAGTAAAAGCACAATTTGACATTTTTGCGTGGTTTTTGTCTCTCTGTGTTCATATTCTCTGCTGTTTTCTTTTTTTTTTTCGCAGAGATGCTGTCAGTGATTTAGCCCTCCATTTCTTGAACAAAATGAAGATTCTGGTTGTGAGGGACATAGAAAGAGATGAAATAGAATTCATATGCAAGGTTAGTAAAGTTTTTAGGGCTGAGAAATTCAATCAAGCCGTCCAGGGTAAAATAGTCACAAATAGCGGAAAGATGAAGTCGAAGTGCTCCATTTTTGAAGTTAGAGGAGGTCGTTGGAAAGGTGGTAAACATTATTGTCTCGGGATTCATGTCTGAAAGCGTATACTGGAGCTAACATTATATAGAGTTGAATCTTAACTGAAAGGAAAACGGAAAGAAACAAAATGTAAGCTGTAGTATTTTCTGAAAACAGCGAGATTTACACACGTAGTTACTGGGGTTTTGATTGGCTCAGAACCATGGAAAACCAAAAGATAAATGTTTTATATCAGTAGTTTCACATTAACCTTGGTTAAAGTCAGTTGTGATTTAAACAATATCATTAGGTCGTCAATACAGCAAAATAGCGTGAAAATGAATGAAGTAAATTTGGTATCTGCTTTATTTCAGAGCTTAGGATGTAAACCAATCGCCAGTTTGGACCACTTCACTCCGGAGATGTTAGCAACTGCAGAGCTTGTGGAGGAAGTCCCTCTGGGAACTAGCAAGGTTGTCAAGGTGACTGGGGTAACCAATCCTGGTCGAACAGTTAGCATACTGGTGAGAGGATCCAACAAGCTTGTCTTGGAAGAAGCCGAACGATCACTGCACGATGCTCTTTGTGTTGTGAGATGTCTGGTGAAAAAGAGGTAACTCATGGCTAGTCAGAATGTTATCTTCGAGGGAGACCTTTGCAAATGGCTCAGAGAAGGAGAGAGACACTTCCTCTCTAATCTCCCACGCACGCGTTAATTTCCCACGCACGAGATTACTGTGTGATGGATGTCCTCCCTGGGGTGGGTTAGGTGGGTAACAGGACCCCCGTTGATACCAGTGTTTACTACACTGAAGGGGCTATCCTGTATAAATATAGATGTCTGTCTGTCTGTCTGTCTAATCAGTCACTTCAAAGGAAAAAAAAATTGTGGACATGCATGTACAGAACTTTTCTTTTCTCAGTAATTTGGTTTTATCAACTGAGTTGATATTGTAAATTGGCCACCGTAAAGAGTTTCAAAGCTGACCTTTCGAGCGTTAGCCCTTCGTCAGGGCGAATGACAAAGGGCTAACGCTCGACGCTCTGACGAAGGGCTAAAGTTCGAAACGTCAGCACTACAGTTTCTTTGGAAACTTGCCCCCTTTCTTTATAGACTTTTTATAAATTTTGAACAATTAAACATTGTTCTTTACCTCAGATACCACTTTTTCGATGGCAAGATTGGAAGATATAGTGTTTATTGGATATTTCTTGTAGAGATTCCCTCTTCGTTACAGATTTGCTTCACAACTACTTCATTTCCTATCCACATTTATTTACTTATTCATTTGATTTTGATTGTGATTATCATCAGAGCTCTCATAGCAGGAGGTGGAGCTCCAGAGATCGAAGTGTCCATCAAGCTGTCTGAGCATGCGCGCACGTTAACAGGAATGGAGGCATACTGTGTCCGTGCCTTTGCAGAGGCGTTGGAAGTAATCCCTTACACTCTGTCAGAGAATGCTGGTCTGAATCCTATTGCTACAGTCACGGAGCTACGGAACAGGCATGCAAAGGGCGAAACTACAGCAGGAATAAATGTCAGGAAGGTGAGAAACTGGGAAAAAAATTTCATTGAAACTAGAAAGCGCTCTGTAACTGTACAGTTAAAGGTATTTGGAAAGCGTTTAGAATTATATTTTGTGGCTCGTTTTTCTCTGCAGTGGTTATATATGGAGAAGTCAGTTCTACGTTGTCCAACTCAGTCAGTTCTATAATTAGCTTAAGTCTGTTGCCTTCTACGCTTGTCTACGGCAGTCGCAACTGTCCATTGGCCAACGCAAGCCAGGAAAACTAAAATGGTACAACGAGTAGAGACTAAACAATAAACTTACCTGGGAAAAAAATGTCTAAAGGAAAGAGCAGAGTTTTCTATCGTGTAAGCCTTATGTTGTTTGGGTTTGGATTTGTGCACGACACCTTGAAGAAGCATAGAGCTCCTTGATCACAACGAGATTCTTTGTTTCATAACCTTTATCTGGGAAATTGACTTGTTAACCTCAACGTCGTGTGCCATGAGGCATTTTTTGTTTTGTTTTGTTTTTGTTTTTTGCTCTTGTCGGCAGAGTTTTGTTTAGTCATAACTATTCATTTCTCACTCTTTGCTTCTCTCGTATCTTTGCTTTTTAGGGCACCATTACTAATATTCTGGAAGAGAACGTTCTGCAGCCGCTGCTTGTATCAACTAGCGCTATTCAATTGGCATCCGAGACTGTTCGTAGTATTCTGAAGATCGACGACATTGTGAGTATGAAGTTACGAGCATTGGAAAATTGAGCAGCCTCAAGTTGTATTAAGTACAGCGCGGCGTGCTATTGGTATTATTCCAACTAGTTGCACAATGACGGAGGTTCAGTTAGAGAAACTAGTAGCGTTAGAAACAACAATGTGTAATTACAGCTTTTTTATTACGGAAAATTGGGTTCAGTTTGTTTAAACACGAGTAACTATTTTTTTTTTTTTTTTTAATTTAACTCTTCACAGTTTTTAGCGTATGATTTCCCTCCCCCTTTCCGGACAGTAAGATTAAACCTCACGTAAAGCTAGCCCCAATACACATCTCAGTACAATAATGGTAAAAAACAGAGCCAGTAGTGATTCTGAAATCTTCTTTTGCAGGTAAATACGAGATGAATGTCCAAGGGGAGATAAGAAGCCATCTGCCGCTGGCATGCGTGCGGGCGTGTGTATAGGAGAGACTATAAACAGATCGACAACTTCTCAAAACAAACCGTTCAGCTTGATGTTAGCATTTTGCTCAGTGTTGAGTGGCCAGTTTCCCATTATGAAATGGAGACGTTTTGACAACTAAATTACTCGGAAATTCTGATTTCCAATCCTAGTCCCATTAAAAAGAATGAAATACCTTGTGTTTGAATTACTACTTAATTAACAAGTTCAAGGATGTAGGCTGGATTCTTCAAAATGAGGTTCCTTCGCCGCTGTTAGACTGGAGTTTGACAGCGTACTTGAGAGCTAAATCTCAGTTTGAGAGTCCCTGGTGAGATTTATCCTTTACATCTCAACATCAGCATCACCTTTCCAAAGGTGCTGACAAGGAGAATTTTTTTCAGTAATCAAGAGCTACTCTCAGTAGAAAATCATTTACTCGATTCTCATCACCGCAATGTGTGATTCAGGAGCGATATTGAAGGGAAGGGTAGCGCTGGAATTTCCATTTAAAAAACGAGTGGGGGAATGGTTCGAGCTCCCCCCGAAAGTTCGTCTGGGATCGTTACTCGGGACACAAATCTGAAGTAAACAAAGAATTGCGTCCCGAGTAACGATCCCAGACAACCTTGCGCGGCGAACTCGACCTACTCCCCCACTCGTTTTTGACTGTAGTCCTGATGGAAGATGGTGGATTTTTGAGAGAGTAGTATTCAGATAGTGAGAGATAAATGTTTATGCAAGACAGTTGGACTCAAAACTTTCGTCAATGATCGTTCTGCAATCAAGAAAACAAAATATCTTCTGAACACCATAGATTCGTTCGAAAAGTCCTTTAAGTTGTATTTTCCTAGTTTCTCAGAGGAGTCATTAATGAGTAGAAGATTTCAGCTCTGTGGAGATGGCATTAAACATATAAGGAATGACTTTTTTTCTTCACTTATCCATTAATTCTTTGTGTGACACATTACGATGCCTTTCTCCACACCCGCAGAAAATTTTTATACTCTGTTGGTTGGTATGCAATATATCAGCCATTTGAATGCTAGTAATCTTACTCATCAAGGCGCTATGTGCCACGAGGCATGAAAAGGATTGATGATGATGAATCTTGCTCATCGATCGTTGCTAGTCAACGTGCCGGCTGAGTACTGCCAACAGACAGGAAACAAGAAAACTCGAATTTACTTGGGACCTGCCAGAAGGTTCCAGAAGCAATTATTGTTGGAGTCTGATATTTAAGTTCGCGAGCTAAGAAAAGTGGGTCGAACGGAGTCTGAACTTGACAAGTAGCGGGTGTAGAAAAATTAAGTAATGGTCCACGGGCAGGGTGAAGCTACAAATTTCATATATTGCGAACCTGCAATATTGTGCACTTTAATCGCTGATTTTCTATATTATTAAACCGATCCAAGACTGCGTTGAGGCATACTTACAGAGAGTAGCGCGGAAGACCTGTTCGTTGATATTGAAGGAATACGAACGGGTCGGAGAGAAAAAAAACAATTAGAAATAAATATGTAATAGTAAGGGGTTTAAAACATATTCGCAACGAAGCTTGACTTACAATGTCTTTATCAGAATATAAGCGGTTGAGATTGCATATGGCTACTGCTGCTGCATCCTACAAATTGATGATTCAAGTATATAGAGGCCAATTGATGCTCGACCAACAATTAAATGGTACCAAATGATCATATTGACAATAACGATACAGATAATAGTGATAATGATGATGAAAATTATATAAATAGTAATTGGAATGATAATTTACTGAGGCTAGCTCGAGAACCTCACCTCCAGTCCCTCTATCGGTCTATCCTCAAGGCTCCCACAATGTTAGAACTCGGCTTTTAGAGGTCTTCATATTCCATTGTTACACTCGCTCACTCACTCAAAAGAACAACATCCCAACATCATAGCTAGAGGCAGTAGTCATAACGACAAACAGAGTTTGCTCCACTTTCTCCTTCGAGAGAAGACTAGGTACAAGACAAAGACACGCAAGTTTCTCGGAAACATGGCCGACCGAGGGGAAAGCGGCGAACTTCCAACGGGCTATGACTACGACTTTGTTTCGGAAATAGATGAAGATTTTATCTGCCAGATATGCCATTTACCTCTTAGAAATGCTGTGTTAACTAGATGTGGACACAGATTTTGTGTTGACTGTCTCAATGAACATTTCAGACGGTAAGAGCGAATTGATTCCAGAACTGTCGTCTGAGTTACTTAATTGATCTCCGAATACTGGTGAATTATGCATGAAACAGGAATATTCCTATTTTGAAAAAAAGAAGCATATTACACGTAAGATAACTATGTGATATTTTATAACTAATGCTGTCATCAGAGCAATGTTTTTAGAAGTGAAGTCAAACGTTCGAATCCACGTCATCTGATGCAGAACTTAGCCCCTCGTGAGACATAAACAAGCATACAAAAGGCAATCTCATACTCCATGTTGATGCCCACTCAAGTACTTGTGCAGTGTGACTTGGTTTTGTGTTTCCTCTTTCAGGCAACTCGAGGCAGTGAAGCCCTGTTTCGAATGAAATCATTCTGATTTGTGTTAGCTTCCTTTTAATCATAATGAATCAAACCGAGCAAGCTTTGCACGTATCATAAATAACCATGTTTTTGGTAAATAGTTTGTTTCAGCGCAAACGTTTATGGTATATCAGCTTAAGGTTCGTAAAGAGTGGCCTAAATGTAGCAAGTGGGTAGGCAAAACTCTGAATTTTGACTAGATTTTAAGTTTGGGATGCGTAATCTCTGGTAGATAACATTGCACTAATGTCAGCGAGAAATGTTCCGTCATTTAGGCTGTAGATTGTCGCACCACATCAACTGAAATCGTTGTGCAGATCACTTCTCATGTTCTTACAAAATCTTCTATTTTGTAGTAATAAACAAGTGGGGATGCCTGTAATATGGGGTTAAATCTCTCATTCTTGTCACCAGTATGTGAATGCAGACAACAATTGTATTGCTCTGCTTTTGTCAGTGTGTTTTGAGAAAAAAAAACATGATGAAAACAAGTGCTGTCTTTATGAGATCTAACAATCATAAACAATGTTTTCTTAGTCAACACAATGAAACCAGACTCCTTTTCAGGACCATCATGTTATCTTGATGGTTACCCATATATGTATGAATGTACATGTGTGTAGGAAGTCCTTCTTCGATTTTCCGTGTAAGGGTGCTCGATTTATAAAAAATAGTAGAGCACAATATATGTTGAGTAGAAAAATACAGTGACTGTTTTTATCCCTACAAGCCTGTTTCGTGATTGCTCATTCATCAGGGGATTTTAATAAAATCTCCTGATGAGTGAGCAATCACAAAACAGGCTTGTATGGATAAATAAGTAGTCATCATATTTTTCTACTCAACATATATATGCATATACACAAACACATACACCTATATATATATTGAATGTTGACATACTGAATGTTACTTTATGACAAAGGAGCATCACTTTTGATGGGAATTTTCTATTTTCAGAAATTCTCCTAACTGCCCCTTGGACAGAGAAAAACTGGATAAAGACAAGGTATTTCTCATTGTGGTTTATTTCAAGTGCTTCTGTAACAAAAAAGCTTAATATTCTCAATCTCACTCAATCTTAACCCTTTCACTCCTTGCATCTCATTCATAATTCTCCATACTGTCTGTGCAATAATTCTTATGTTGTTGGTTTGGAGAATTTGGTGTTTGATCAACCTGAGTGACCAAGACAGAATTTCTCCTTACAGTATCAATACAGTATCAAGCAGACAAGTGGTGAGAATAAAGAAAAAAAATACCAATTTGGGGAGTATCAGTTGATCCAAAACCAAATTCTCCAAACTAACATCATAAGAATTGTGTAGAAGACAGTGTAGAGAATTAGTAATGAGATCTTGGGAATGAAGGAGTTAGTTATTTTGCACTTTCTTATCCAATATTTCAGTCCTTTCTTGATTTGTAGGATGTTTTTCCTGATAAAGCAAGCCAGAGAAGAATTCTCTCTTACTTAATCAAGTGTCCTGATAAATGTCAGTGGGTAGGAGAACTCAGAGATGTGGAGGTAACTTAACAACATCATTTCCTCAAAGGAAAATAATATGGATATAATGAGTCCAAGCTCACCTACCAATTGTACCAGCAAGCCCATAGGCTTAATCTACAATCACATGCAGCCAAGCATGGTCATAAGGATAAGAAAATTTTGATTTCCATGCTTTCAGTTTATCCTTCTCAATGTTGGCTTAAACAGGAATGACTATCCCTCTTCAAACCCAACATTAACCCTAACTTGTTATCAATTGACTTTTATTGAGTTAACATTTTAACTCCCAAGATCTGATAGTTAATTCTCCCCTCTGGCTGCTGCACATTTCCTTGTAAATTGGTTACGAGAATTTGGTGTTCAATCAAGGTAACAACTTCTACCTGATAAGTTTGAGTATTCTTACTACCTGTTTATTGGATAATGTCTGGATATTAAAGGAAGAAGTTATATGTTAATCACTTCCGGGAGTTAAGGGTCAAGGGAGAGGAAGGTGCGCTGTTACCCAGATACCGTCATTAATTAGTAAATTCTACCGTGGATAGGAGGGGTAAGATTTTGGTTAACCACTCAGTTTTCTTTTTTTGTGTGTGAGTTCTAGTGTGAATGTGCAGAGGCGCAGAGGGCTCATGGTTAGTGCGCTTGACTCCGGATCAAGCGGCTCAGGTCAAAGCCCTGGCTGGTAACGTTGTGTTGTGTTCTTTGGCATGAAGCTTTGCTCTCTCAGTGCCTCTCTTCACCCAGCTGTTTAAATGAGCACTGGCAAATTTAGTGCTGGGGGTTGACCCTGCTGGGACTAGCATGCCATCCAGGGGGGAGTAGAAATACTCCTAGTCATTTCATGCTACAGAAACTGGAGATAAGCACCAGCCTGATGGGCCATACAGCTTGTAAGCAGACTTTACCTTATTTAGTGTGAATACATGTACCACATGTGGTAACCAAATTCTGTTATTTTGGTTCAAATCTTTCAGGGCCACAAAAAGAAGTGTCCATATGTGATTGTCCAGTGTCCTAATCACAACTGCCATGAGCGGATGGCAAGGAACCTGGTTGAAGAGCATGCGGCGGTGACATGTCAATGGAGAATGGTTTCTTGCCAATTTTGCCAAAAAAAATATCCAAAAGCGGAAGAACATGTGAGTAAAATTGATTGAGCCATCTCAATGTGTTTTCTTTTCTCGATTTCCTGAAGTGCTGACAAGGAGAATTTGTTGAACAATCAAGAACTCCTCTGATTGGTTGATCATTTCCTTTATTCTTGTGAGTTAAAAATTTGGTTCAGGAGTGACAGTGTAATGAAATTAGATTCAAGTTACTCTTGGAGTTTCTTAATTAACTCCCATGAGTGACCAAGACAGAATTTCTCCTCAGAATATCAATACAATGTCAAGCAGACAGGTGATGAGAATAAAGAAAAATATCAATTAGGGGATTATTAGCTGATCTAACACCAAATTCTCTGAACTAGCATGCTAAGAATTGTATGGCAGACTGTAAGGAGAATTGTAAATAAGATCTTGGACGTTAAGGAGTTAATTTTTAAGTACCCTCATTCCCTTAGGGTATGATTGGGTATTTGTAAACTTTCAGGGGGGGGGGCCTGTTAAAATATTTGCTATGGGGTTAATTATTCTGTTATGTACTAAATCCTGAGCAGCAAGATAATTTAATATTAAATTGGTGATACTTGTTGTATATGTTCTCAGCTGTAAATTTTACTTTGTAGATACACTGTGAAACCTGTCACATGTTCCCTCTAAATTGTTCCAATGGCTGTGAACAAGTTGTCCCAAGAGAGCAGGTAAAAGAGATGTTTACCCTAGAGTAATATGTTTAAGTAATTCCCACAGGTGTTAGAGGTTTCTAGTGGTCCAGGTAAATTTCATGTAAGATAGATCTTCATCCTGAGGGTAAACTGCTTTGTAACTGTCACAAGTTACAGTTCCATTATTGTGGGAGAGAAATTTGTCTCTGAGATTACCCACTCTGTAATCCTTTTTGGTATGAAGCTGTTGCGGGTAGGAACACCACTGACTCTTTGTTTTATGCCCTTAGCTACCAGTCTGTCCTGAGAAGAAAAATGTCTATTTGTGAGGAATAATTTTCCTCGATCTTTAAGTACATGCTGCTGTTTGCTGCCGTACATCTATCACAATACCTCCCAAGTGTGGGGTAGATTGTAACAATAGAACATTACTTGGAAACTGCATACTTAGATTATGTCAGTCGAATTGAAATGTGTGTAAATTTTTTCTCAATTTACGTAATTATCAAATGAATAAAGGCTGATAGTTTCGAAAGAAACTGTTTTGGGCTGCGTCGGTGGGAGTAACGAAATAATTTGGATATATCAACAAAGTTGAAATGGTAAATTGGCCACCGTAACGATTACAAAAGCTGACGTTTCGAGCGTTAGCCCTTCGTCGGAGCGAATAGAGGAATTGTGGGTTGTGTGTGCTTTTAAAGGCAGAAAATGGAGCTACGTTATTGGTGGGAACATGGCAACGAGAAAAACA